GAGGACTACAAATCTCAGCAGTACTTTATACAGAAATGCTATTGTTATATAAAGTATTGCTGGGATGTGTAGTCCTCAATAGCCTGTGCCATTCTGCATTGCTGTAAATATTAGGGTTGCACCGATAAATCGGCCGCCAAAAGATATCAGCCGGAAATGGCACTTTTGGCCAAATGCCAAAAGTGCAATTTTTCTGCTGATACAGCAGCGCATCCGTGCTTTCTTTCCTCCCCGCTGGGCGCTGCTCTGTGTCCCAGCGGGGAGGAGAGAAAGTGACAGCCGGCCGAGCGCTGCGGGAGGAGAGCGCTGTGTTTGTGGTTTTTTTTTGGGGGGGGGGGGCCCAAAAAAAAATCTTGCACCAGGGCCCTTTGTTCCTTAGCTCCGCCACTGGTGCTTACATACCTAATTGTATAGCTTTGCCATTGCAGGATCATTATGATTCAAATACTACCTCAGTATAACTCAGTATAAGGCTATACCATTGCAAAATGGACTGTTCTTCACAATAAAAGTAGTGTGGGGTCCATAGCACCGAAAACCAGTTTGGAAATGTAACTGTGACTCAAACATTTACTGATATTCTCATACATGCAGTATAAGTTATAGTATTTTGTTTTGAAAATGTGTTCAATGCATTTTAAAAATTGTGTTTGAAGTGTGGTTTCCATAGATAATTTCCTAATACATGCTTTGCTCATCTTAATATCACTTATTCTAAGCAGAATCTGTCCAATAATGGATATCCAAAGGGTATATGGAACCCGTAACCCACAAATTGAATAAAAACAACAAAGAAAACACAAGTATAATATAATTATGAATAGTATGGCATAAAGGATCTGTATAGGCAAAATATGAAATATGTAGACTCTCTTAGAGACTGTGAAGAGGTAACATATTAAAAATAACCCTGACAACCATTGAGCGCACATCCTCTTATTCTAATGACACACTGGAAAAATATCTGCGACAAGGGGGAGGTTAGAAAAGACATTTCAGTCTAGGGAGGGAAGTCAACCACATACCAAGGATAGCCAGCAGTTTGTGAGCCCAAGTGCAATAAGATTATTAGAACCACAAGCATTCTTCACTAGATAGATGCATCTTACTTCTTCTGCACTGCACTATATAAGGCACTGGCTATTTTTTGCCAGAGTTCCTAGATACTTCTACTTCACTTCTGGCATTACATTCATATAAATCCCTATACTCATCAATGCCATATATAGGGGCACTAGGGCCGTGTGAATGGCATCTGCCGGGTTATACACCAGGCAGAACGTTTGTAAATAAATCTCTTACTGTGTGTTTAAGCCTGCCACGCCCACTTTAAAATGATCAAGACAGGTTTACTGATTGGTGGAATATATACATATATTTACGTTATACCAAATTTTATTTTCTTTGTTGTGTTTTTAAACCTTTACATTGATCGCAATACAAATAATTCAAGTTGTTGGTAATGTTAAAGGAAACCTGCAATGAGAGGATTATGTAGAATACTACTGCTGACCTCCCCTTCTGAAAATCCTAGTTGCTTGTGTTTCTAAATGCACAAAATAGAACTGGCTATTAACATCTATAGGAAATAACAGTAGACATTATTAATACAGGGAAAATTAGATTGCCTTAGGGGATCAGGAAGGAATATTTCACTGTTAAAGCAAATTGGACAACACTTTATAAGGGTTTTCTTTGCCTTCCTCTGGATCAACCAAGGGTTCAGGGTTCTGTGAATGCGGATTTTTAGTTTATTTAATTTTGTTTGTTGGTTGAACTCTATTGACATATCTTTTTTTAACCTAACTCAGCTTTAATTCTGGGTCAGTGGCTGATTCAGTGATCCAGATGAAATATATAGTTCAAGTGTATTGACTTCATGTGTTGCATGCTTATTATGGGTTAGTGATTCCCAAAGCATGTCTGCCTCACAAAAACAATAGCTGTTCTCTAGGTGATATACAAATTTGTTTCAAACCGTGCACATTCATGTTATTTTTATATAGGAATGTCTTTTGTAACACTGCTTTGAAATTATTATGATTCCATAAGAATCATGAAAAGAATGCAATTTGATATTGTAAAATGAATTTGTTTTGGGAGCCGAGTCTAGAACAGCTAGATAATCATATCATTATACATGACAAACACTATCAAAAGATCAGATTTTCAGCCTTCCTCTACGTGATCAAAGAAGACGGTAATTGCAGCACCTCCTGTTATTTCAGACAAGTTTTATTTTTTACAATTTTAAACACCTGCACTTTGAGAGCAGTTAAAATTGTTCATTATATAGAAGCAAAGATTATTTAATTCTTTGTGTTGCTTTAGATTAACTAACTTCTTGGAATTATTCTTGCACAAATGTCAGCGCAGCAAAATATGATTGTTTTAACATATACAGTATATGCAGTATCAAGTTTTATGGTGCTTTTTGAACTATGGATGAAAACAAAGGTCCATATTAGCTCTCTAATGCTTGTGGTTTCCCTTGTAGATGGTTTACAAACAGGGTTGGTTTATAGGTAAAGCAAAAGAAAATGTTGACACCTCGACATTTGAGACCTCAAGATCCCAACATCGTACTTTCAACATATATAGGGAATTTGTTTAGGGAATTTGTTTAACTATAAATATGTAAAAATTAAGTTTCCATCCTATGTTTTATTCTTCAGCCGATCTTAGTACAAGACCTGCTCTAACGAGTGCTGTAAACATGTACATTTTTCATGGGAACCCGTTAAACTACTTCCTTTTTCATTTTCGGGAAATTTATTTATGTTTGCATTCTGCATTAGAAACTGACAAAAGATTAGCAACCCAGTTGCTGAAATCATTGACTGTACCTGTTTTTTTAAAATCATATAATGTAAAGCAACCATGTTAAATACCTTCTGCTAGTTATATTGTTGACCTTTCCTGAATTAATACTGATAATGCAAATACTTCAAATGGTCAAAGCAGTATAATCTCTCATACAAGTGAAAGTTACTGTCAGATAACATGACATATGGCAAAATACTTGCTGTGGAGAACACAATCCACCACTATTGACTATGACTATGACTGAATAAACAGACTTTGTTTCGATTCATTTTTGTTTCAAATGAAGAATTTAAGGCAAAATAAGATTGTTACTGCAGTTAAGCCACATTAATTGTTATTATTATGACTATGAAATAGCATGATTGCATTAGTTTTATTAAATGTTAATTTCAATTCCTTGTAATATTTTGGCCTACTGTAGGTAAGTCCTCAGATCTGAAAGTAAGAGAATGAATAGTGTGTGTACAGTAGATACTGTAAATCACTTCTCTTTATCCACAGTCTTGCAGGTCGTTTAGATGCACAGAATAGTCAGAATTGCAATCGTATACAGTTGTAGGGATTCCAAAGTTCTGCCAACATTACGCCATATAAGCTAAAGACTCCCTTTGAAAACCGTGCTTTACTGTTCATTGTGTACTGGCAGTCATATTTATTTAGTATAAGCAGGTCTCCAAATGCAACAGATCCACAATTTAAACTGCTTCTGGTGCGATGGTCTTTATAAGTCTTGCCGCCCCTAGTATTTTGTTTATATGTCTCTCTTCTTTTATTCCAATGCCTCGTAAGTGAGTCTGTGAGAGAGCAGGCACTTTATTTAATGATGTAAATCCGGCTTCCAATAGAGGGCGTGTATACATGGGAAGGCCAATTGATATAAGCCAGTCGGAAACCGATGAAATATGTCCAGGAGATACGGGTTTTCTGCAGATCTCTGTTAGACCTCCACTTGGTATCTACAAAGAGGACAATGGGTAACAATTAGTAATAGCATGAACCTCACACAAACATTATATGGCTTTTTTGTAAAAATAAATATTGCTGCCTAGCTCAGACTAAAATACAAGCCTCCATTGGCACCAGATATATGCTGGCAATAAAAGTAACAATACAGTCCTGCAATATAACAATTCAGAAATGAAGTGCACTAACCGGCTAATTTTACTGGAACATCAGTTCTGGCAAAAAATCTGGTTGAGTTTAACCAAATTAATCTTTTCTTTGTTTTGTTGCATGATTGTTTTTGATCAAAAGGTCATCTGACACAATCACAGATAAACCAATCATTTGTCGTTGTAGTGTATGGCCAGCATTAAGGGTCTAATGGCCTGCAAATATGTACTGCTCAAAGTAATAGCACTTCAGGATTCATGGATCAATAATCAACCATACTTTTCCTGTTCCTAGGAATGTTTAAAACTGTACAAATATATCTTAATATTCAGCATCATCAATTATAGTGACAGATACAAATAAAGCTATTTTATTCAATAGGGAGAAAGCAATATGCAGAGTTTAGTAGAAGATATAAACTAATTCAGTCAATTAGGTTGTTGATCTGACTAAAGTAAACTGAAATCCATTTGACTGCAATTTAAAGCCGCACTTCACACAAAAATAACAAAACCAGATTTTGCTGCACTATTTAGCTTTGATCCACAGATTTCCCCTGCAGGACTTTTTGTTCTGCCACTAGATGTACTCAGTCTTATGGCCAGTCTCACCCCACCCCATTAGTGGTCAATGGAAGGAGAAGCAGTACAGCGAGCCTCCTCCTCCTCTCAGCATGCTTCTTGTCAGTACATGAACTGATTGGCTCCTTCAAGTGCTTCTTCCACTCAAACTTCAGCCTGCTGTACGGGGAGTGCATTAAGCTGATACCAGGTCAAATTAAGGCTTTGTCCTCTGTAAGCTCAGAGCAATCTCTGCATTGTGTATTGTGGGAAAGTCATAAATGACCTGGTGATCCTGACATTTCCCATAGAATAGAACCCTTTCCACTTTGTTACTGACCATACTAGGCACATCTGTTCTAATGTGATCAGTTTGAATCTCTTTGTCTGAATTCAGGATGCTGTGCCTACAGTTCAGAAGATAGATTACAGCTGCCATACCCCCTCCCTACCCTCCCTCGTCCAGCCCTTCACAGTTTTAGTAAACTCCTCCTGCTCAGCAATTAGAGCTGCCAAACCTTGTGTCCAGCTCTCCACCGTTTGACTGATAGCGGCTCCTGCTCGGCAATTAAAGCTGCCATACCCCCCTTCCCATTCAGCCCTCCACAGTTTGAGTGACAGCGACTCCTGTTTGCCAAGCAGCCTCTGCAGACTCCGCCCTGAGCTGCAGGGAGAAGAGGTGATCAAGCAGTCATGTGGCCACAGATACATTTGTTTAACTTTTGTATTACATGAAAATTCAGATAAGGCCTAATGAAAAAAAAAAGTTGCACATAATGCTTTATCACACTTTAGTGAATCAGAAATATTATATAAGGAACACTTACAGCCATCCGATGCTGTTTTCTCAAAAGTCTGACACGAATCTGGTCCATCCAGTCTGCAACATCTTTTTCTGGCTGACTTAAGTCTTCAGCATATCGTTCCACTAAGGCTTCTGGGATGCCACAACGACCATGCTACCACAAGACAAATAAAGTTATAGTGAGTGTTCTGGAGCAACACTTACTGACCTCTATGATGACCAAACAGAAGAAGAATCTAGTATTACATATAAAGCATTCCAGATGCATGAAAACCATACATTCCATGCAGCCCGTTAGCCTTTCATCGTCTAAAACAATGCTAGACACATCATTTAAACTGCACAAAACACAAAACCAAAGTACACAATCAACTCCATCTCCTTCCTCCCTAGAGATGGGTTCAATCTGAAGAAACAATTAAAAGCTCAGCATGCTGTATAGTACTGCAGTTATGCAAATTATTTATTTTAATTTCTTCACTGCACGTAGACAAAGATTTTCTTACTAAAAAATCATGCACCAAAAATACCTGCTATTTCTTTTATTAAAACAGAAACCCTCTTCTATCGCTTTATTTTACTAAAAATAAATTGGATGTTCACTTTGAAATGGAATGTTCACTTTGTAAGAGAATTTTCCCTTAGCCTAGTGAATGAAATGAAAATTCACTTTGAAAAAAATACCCAATCATGTGAAAGGAAAAGTAAAAACAAAACAAAACAAAAAAAACGTACAGTATTTTTGCTTGGACATGATTGGATAATGGGAGTCAGCATTTCACCTCATTCACTAAGCTAATGGGAAATTACCCTTGCAAAGTGAACCAATTTTAGTAAATCAACCCCTATGTGTCTGGAACACCCTGTCAGTACAGACTTGACTTTTCTGACTTCTGAGATTAGTGTTTACCCCACAATTCAAAATCATTAGTCTCTACCCCACCCCTTTCCATCTGTCCTGCTATCAGAAATGGGCACTGCCACTGGCTGCTGAAATGCATCAATTTGCATAATGGGATGGAGAACGCAGAGAGCTTAGCTTTGAAGGTTGTATCTTTTCTCAAAAGTTAAAGGAGTGGAGACATGTGCAGTATCTACTGTTAGACAGTAAGTATAGTTTTCAAACATTAGAAGCTCTGACAGGTTCACTTTATTTCAAAACATGTAGGAGTTAGAGGCAGTGCATCTCCTGAGCCCTCAGTGATTGCTTCCTTACACCGGTCAGCTCCATTGCACTGATTGACCCGAATGATTAGCCCTTTTTGTAAAGTGGCTCTGAAAAGTAAAGTCTTCAGTTATGTTGACAGACTTTGTTGTCAGAAATATAAAACTTTAGTCTTCTAGTCAGCATAAAGGTTGGGGTTTTGGGAAAACACAATCATATTGCAGAGTGGAACATATTTCAGTTGATTAAATACATGGCCATGTATCACAAAAAGGAAAAGTCAGGTCACAGACTTGAAAGCACAGTTTATCACTATTCAGCTTGAACAAGCAATGCTTTTTGGAAACGTGTAAATGAACTCTAAAGGTCTGTGCCTACACAAGTGTTTTCATCTGTTTTTTTTTTCTTCTCACATTTGATGGGTGTATAAAACAGGGAGAAAAAGGACCAAGACACGGTGCACAGAAATAGTAGAGCAGAAATCTGGAGACATTGTGAGGACCTTTGGGGTGTTTGAGGTTCACATCCTCCCCATTACTACTTCATGGACAGAAAGGATGCTTAAAGGAGAACTATGAGGAGAGGGACTTCCACTCATAGTTAGAGCTGACCTGTGACAAAGAAGCTATCACAGATCGGCTCTATTGATCGGGAAGTGAGCAAACACATACCGTTGCTCGCTCACTTTCCAGTCATCTCCCTACAGAGAGCGGTGACTGTCAGGCACCGCTCCCTGCAGGGATTCCCCCCCTCCCCTCTCCGATCCTCCAGCGCTGAGTGGAGGAACGGACGGGAGAGGGGGCGGGTACAGCTGGCTCTGCCTCTAGATATTCAGAGCCAGCTGTCACTCATGCAGCTGGGTGGATCTGGACAGTATTGTCGGGATTCATCCCGGCTGCTGCGCTCTCAGTATATCGCTGGCAATAGCCCACGATATACTGAGATTTGGGTCATGGGAGGAGGTTAGTATATGTCCTCCCATGACCCTAGGAAAAACACTTACCCCATAGTTCTCTTTTAAGCTGTCAAGCCTATATTGGGAACACTTTATGCATATGTATTATAAATTGTAAAAATATATACATATGTTTTATGAATTATTTAAGATAACATTTATATAAAATTATTTTTCAACCTGGCAGAGGAGGAACAGATGAGAAGACAACAATAGACTTTTTAGGCGTACATGACTGTTATTAGGAAAAAGAAATGCTATGCCTTTTATAACATTATTTGTTTGGTCAGTGCAATACATAACATTCATCTTCTAAGATCTATGGGCACACCATCAAAATGTAATTTTTTGTTATCGTCTTAACGAGTTTCCTTTGACATAAAAACAATCACAACCAAAACAAATGTATGTAAGCTTCCAATAGCAGATGCATGACAGCAGTTCCATTTACCTTATCTGAGTACGGTTCCTCTGTAAGATCAATCTCCTCAGCCTGCAGCTTGTTTTCTATCAATAATTCCTGATCCATTCCTCTGGCAACAGCCATCTTTCTGGCTGACACAGGGCCCAGTTTTACAGCATGTTGTGGAATATTTGAAGCATCTGGGGAATTGTGATACCAAGACAGCCTGGAGGTGGTTGGAGAAACACACCCTTGTGCAGGAAGTATAGAGCTTTCATTTGGTCCTGATAATCCCGATTTTAAAATAGGAAGACAAGATTCTTCGGTATTGGAAATAGAGAGACTGAGAGGAGGATGGTTCAGGCCATTAGCAAACCGCTCTCTGCATTTTTTGGCAGGAACTGGTGGAGGTTGTGAAGGGTTTTTTGTGGGTACCATAGGCTCTACAGAAGCTTTCATTGGCTTGTCTATAGATACATGTGAAAAATCATTTGTGTTTTGGACTGTGCAGTCTTTATCATGGCTTTGTATACGAGATATCCTTCTGATTTCAATACAATCAGGAGCCTTGTCATGTGCCACAATGTCCATATTGCAAGATATTTTGTCATGTACATCTCCAGTTTCCTCCTCAAAAAAACTACTTGATTCTGTTTTATCTGTTGAAAAAACAACTTTGTTTTCATTAATACACTGAAGTTCCTTTCCTTCCTGCTGAAGATTGTCCAATGAGTGAGATCTTGGCCAGATCATTAGAGATTTTCTCCCTTCCTTTTCAATATGTGCACAGACTCCAACAGGTAGACTTCTTCTGTTCTTTTTAATTCCTGTAAGACTGGCTAACTTTGTACAGGAAGTGCGATCATGGAGCTGTCCAACATTTTTAGTGTCTCCATGTGTGATTTCTCTGGTCACCTTCAGACCTGGGTAGTCAGTGAGCTGGGTGGCGGAAGGCTTAGGCAATACTGGAGAAGTCACTGGGCTTTTGCCTACAAATAAAACATATTACAGTACATCACATTTACTTTGAAATCAAGGTCACGTTTTATAGTTATTACAGTAAGTTTGTCTAGCAGTGTTCATTACTACATCATAAAAAATTGCTGAAAGTGAAAATACATCATCCAATTTTTATAATAAGGTTCATGAGGTGCCAGCTTTCCTTGCATGACTTAATGTTTTACGTTGAACTTTTGCCAAAGATGGACATCTTGTATTTGGTTCTTTAAAAATGTTTTCAAGAATGTGATGGCCTGTTTTAAGACATTCTTTTATCCATTGTTAGCAGTTTTAGCTGTTGCTAGCAGTCCTATTATTAACTAGTTTAGTATTGCTATTATTTGTTTTATGCCAAAAATAAAATTTGCATCCTTTAAAGCTGTAGGCAGTTACATCTTTCTTTTGTTTCAGTTTTCTTTGCTCCTTTTTTTTTTTTTTAAACAGTCTTAGTGTTCCTTGTTTGTTATTCATACCACTAGTTGTTACATATTAATGATTTTCTGCATTTTATAAATATGGTTAAAGTAAGCCTGTCATTAGCATCTGAGTAAGAGAAAGTGGGGCCAAGAATGTCACCAATGCATTGGTTCTACCGCCTTTAAAATGTCAGGATGTTGTAATTAAATTTACCTCCAATATTGGTCCATTCTAGCAAGGTGGTGGTAGGCGGAGGAGGACCCACTACTGAACACCACCAAGAAGAGTCCACATTTGCTGGATACAGCAACCCAGAACTCAGGATACTTATCAGAAGAATGAATTTAAAGATGGTAGGCACCTTTTGATGTCTGTTTATGGTGAACCACTGCGCTATAGCGCTGTGAAAATTTAAACAATCTGAAAAGCTGCTGTATTAAAAGAATAGCAAAACCCACTACTCTTGAAAGTGACAGAAAGGTTAAATTGTAACTATATAACATTTGTGTTATGTATCCTTTGTGCTAATAGTGAATGTACCACCTTTTTGCATATGGAAAACAATTCTATAACAAATAAAAAATTTAAATATGTGTATTTGAAAAATCTTCTATTTGTTCCAAACTGTCAGTGTTCTTTTTCTATTGGTCACCATGCTCTTTATTTCCTTTGCTAGTGTTTAGCTCATGTGAAATTCGCACTCACCAGCTGTTGTTGGTCACATTGTCACGGGCTGACCATGAATCGTCTATTTCTCCTTTTTCTTTCCCACTCTCAGCCGATGGACTGGTTTCCTGAATCCTCCTATATCTTCCAAGGGTTGTTTAAACGTTCATTTTATACAGCGAACCCAAAGAGGAAGTCCCAGTGATGAAACGCATAGGTGGGTGGAGCACACGGACATCACAATTCAACAGAGCTCGAGTGGATTTTATTCAAAGCGTGAAGTTTTTTTTACCGTTCTTGCAAGTGTTTTCATCTTATACGCATTAAATCTTTTTAATCAATACTGCACAATGGAGAGCATTCTTTGGTTTTTCTGAGCATTGGTGACTGAATGACAAAATGAGAGATTAAACAACCCAAGATATAGAAGGATCCAGGAAACCAGTACATCGGCTGAGAGTGGAAAAGAAAGGGGAGAAATAAATGATTCATGGTCAGCCCGTAACAAGGTGACCAACAACAGCTGGTGAGTGTGAATTTCACATGATCTAAACACAAGCAAAGGAAATAAGAGCATGGTGACCAATAGAAAAAGAACACTGACAGTTTGGAACAAATAGAAGATTTTTCAAATACTTTTATATATTATCTCTTTTACATTTACATTTTACATTTTTTATAAAATAGTTTTTTGTATGCAAAAATGTACGTTCACTATTAGCATGAAGGATACATAACACAGATGTTATACAGTTACAATTTAACCTGTCACTTAGGAATTCACAGTGAGTTGTAGCGCAGTGTCGTTTTGTATTTATCTTTTGGTGTCTGCATTGTAAAACTTAATCTGTTTAATTACTAACAAATTATATTGAAGAATTAGGCATGATATCGCTAAGTTCTTCATAAACACAGAAAATTATATCCTGTCATTGTTAATGTGGTAAAGACACTTTTTTTAGGTTTTCTTGGTCATCACTTTGCTCTTAGGACATGTCAATATTTGTACTTTTTGTAGTATATTTGTTATAATATTTGTTTTTGTATAGTAGTATTTGTCAATTATTATTCTGAAGTACAGAGCAACACAGGTACACTAGCCCATTACTGCAAGCACTGTCATCAAATGACAGTGGATGCATATGTGGAAGCAGAGAGGATGATATTTTTTTTGCTGTGCCCAGTCAGTTGCATTCATTTGATGTATACAGAATCAGTACATGACTAAATTATCACGAAGAATCCTCATACACAGCATGTCTATTAATTAATCAGTGGAGGGTGCAATATTTACATCTTTGAGTAATTAAGTCAGGCACAACTGTAGCAGATGAACTCATGAGAAGGAAATAAAAATATAATGCAATCTGCCAAGTTGAAAAACTCTAGATTTTTTCATACTGTGAAAATGATTCTACTTTGAACTCTTTGTTCACACCTCTAAAGCTTCAGTTAAAAGTGCAATAAACATCCAATGATTATTATGTCTCACACAAGTACCCATCAGCTGTTACCTGCAGCAAAAAGCTAATCGCCAAACCTACATTGGGGAAAAAACATAGCTGGATAAAAATTAGAATCTAGATGTTGTCTATTTTTGCAATTATCTGCTATCAAATTTTTATAACATGTCATCATATTTAATGTTCAATTTAAATGTGACTTTCTTTCTTCTCAAAACTGTTTACTTCAAGGTGACCCTGAAGGCTTGTACTTTATAAAAATGCTTTAATGTAACATAACATATTACCATGAAGCAAAACAGAACAATAACATTTCTCTAATGCAAACATAGATGCATTTTTTATTTGTCCATAGACATGTTATTTCTCTTCAAAAAGGTGATAATTTAGTTGTATTCACTGGCTCTTACCTATTTTGTTGAACAATTCCTTTTTGAGCTTTTAGAAAAATTACTTTAGGCTACTTTGTTGATTTGTGTTACTGCCTGTGGTTCAGGCAACATACTGGGCCATATGCTGCTAGCTGGTCTGAAGAAAGAGCACAGAAACGGCTCTCTAGTCAATGTGTTTCCTGTATGGCAATGGTAACAAAGCGTCACCTGGAAAGCTGCAGGAATGATGAAAACCGGCAAGAATGTGCCAGTATGCTGTCTGAATTGCCCTTTTAATCCACTGTATAATACAGATGCATAATAAAAGAGATAGAGTGCAATGACAGGGTGGCAGAATGCCATATAGCAGCTCTAATTGGCCAGCAGGTGTCAGCTGCTGAGAATAAGACTTGACAGGCCAGCATGTACATTTTTTTCCAAGGTGAGATTTATATTAGAAGCATGATCATATGGAAAACATATAGTGCTGACAGCTATTTAATGAATCTGGGCTGCTCATGATTTTTCATAAAAGTAACACAATGCATGGACCAGGTATTTTGTCTGTTGTGCCAACATTTTTATTTCATGTTATGTACTCGAGTACTATTGAATGTGCCGAGCATAACTATAGTCAATGCTGCTCAAGATCTTAAAAACTAATATTGTCAGGATTGCCAAGTGTCCAGAGGTTTACAGAAAGTCCATTAAAATGCAAGCCGACTAAGGTTGTCCACATGTCTGGAAAAAACTGTAACTGTCTGTAAAAAGATTTGACTCTTTTTGCTGAATTTGAACACAAGCCAACAACAGGCTTGAATATTTATCCTTTAGTTGCCTCCCAAATAGATGTACAACAGTTATATAAGCAACAATCTAAAGTGAATCTGTGGGCTCACCTTAACCTTTAAGGTATGTGTTTATCGAGTACATAACTGGACTAAATGGTACTTTTTAAATGCATTATTCTGAATATTAGTGGCACTCTAGTGACAGGGTCTGTTTAACCTGTTTGCTGCTGGGCCAAGCCTACCATTTTTCACCAGGTGGTCAGACCATTTTTGCTATTTTTCCCTTTTTTTGCTATATTTCAAGTACAACTTTGAAAGGTAGTAAGGTTGGAAAAGTTAAAATGAATGGGCTTCTGCAGTGCAACATGCCTTACCGTGTGTGCAGTAACACACCATAACAGATCACAAAAACGGTGTGTGCACGGGTGAGGCTGTTTGTGTATTTTTGGGTGCAGGTTTGCCAGGAGGGTGTTTAATTTGGTGTGGGGACACACTGGGGTTTTTTAGCTGCCGTTGTGATGTGCTGGGCTTCTGGTGTGTCCCTGTGCATTTAAGGAAGAATGGGCTGCCTCCTGGCAACCTGCACCCATTTCATCCTTTGCTATATGTGCTCCAAGATGGAGGCTCTCATAGATTAGAGTTAGGACCACACTACACAGAAGGGCCTTGATGAGGCAGTGTGGCTTCCACATATTTTGCAAAAGTTGTGCAACTAAAACCTCTCTTTTCAACCCTAATAGTTGATGCAATTTGTTTTGTTTTTTTGCGGGCTGGATGGGAAATGTATGCTTCAGGCCCTCTGTAATGAGACATATGGGGTTTAACAGACAGTCTGCCCTTGTGCCGGAGAAGAAACCAAGGACTAGATAGCCTTATCTCCTAACACTGTACTCAGAAGTGCTCATAATTCGGTACTTCTGATTCAGTTTTATTATGCAGGGGATCGGTTAACATTGCTCTACTGCATATTTCCTCATTTTCCACCCTGAAAAAGAAAAAGCCAGCGATGAGACAGCAAAAAGAGAGAAAGACAGTCTCATTGACGAAACTGTAAACAATGAGCCCCTGGTGTTTTTTTCATTCCCAGCAGGCAGCTGCTGCAGCATGGGAGCGGGGAGTAAATTTTATAAACAAATCTGATTCATTCATAATCCCAGCTAGTCCTTTGCACCATGTGGCTGTAAGTTGTTGGGCGCTGAAACCTGATGTTACTAAATTTCGACTACTTAGAATTCAAAATTGGTTTCTACACTTTTGCCTGCATATTGGATTGACAAACATA